CCTCCCGGCCCAGGGGGGTGCAGACCCGCAGCCCCCTCAGCCAGAGGCTGACGGCACAGCAGGTCCCGCTGCCGCACTGAGGGTCCCGCTCGCAGGCCTGGGGAGGAGGAGGAGGAGGAGGAGGATGGAAAAGAAACGTTATCCCTCTTTTTTGGAGGGGGATTAATAGTGGGATCAGCCCACGCTGGGGAGTTGGGGGGGGGGCAGTTCCCAGTTATTGCCGGTTCAGGCTGAGGTTTTGGGGAGGTTTTGGGGCGGGGTTGGGGTGCTGGGGTTTGTGGGGTGAAGGGGAAACCCCTCATGGACACGGGGCACAGAGGGAAAGTTTGCAGGAGAGCAAGGGAGAGCAGCAGAATCGAGGGATAAACCCACTGTCCGGGTCCTCCCCAAATTGCCACTGGCTGGGAAAAGCCAGGAAAGCATCATTATCCCTCCTTTTGGGAAATCAGGGGAATGGAAACACTTGGTTTCTCCAATACTGGAGGGAAAAGAGGGGTTCAGCCAAGCCTGGCTTTGCTGAGATCAGCATCCAGGCTCTGGAAGCACCACAAAAACCTGGATTCTGTCCCTAAAATTCACTTTTAGCAGTGCCTTCAGTCCAGTGCTTGCTCAGGGACACCCTGAGTGTGACAGAGTGAGCAACCACCTGCCCTTGGCACCCTGACAGCTCCCACCTTGTTTAATAATTCCTTTAAATGCAGGAGGGAAAAGGATAATTTGGGGTGTCTGAGCCCTTGTTCCAATTGGGAACGTGCTCTGGGACACCTCCATAAAGACACATCGATTTTTAACCTGCTGGAAAACTTCCTAAAATCCCACATTCCCCTGCTGGGAGGAGATGCTGGTGGTGGGAACAGCACCCATAGGTTGGAAAAACGAGGGATAAATTGGGGAAAAAAGAGGGGAAAAAAAACCAACACAAACCAGACAACACAAAGGCCTGATTGCTGTGTTATTTCCCAGCATAATGAAGATGAATCAATAAAAACCCCAGGGTGGGGTGGAAGCAGAACTTACCCCGGTGATGACGGCGCAGGGGCAGGAGTTGAGGAGCAGGAGGAGGCAGAGGAGCCGCAGGATTCGGCCCATGGTGCTGGAATTCTGAGCTGCTCACACCTCCACCCCCTTTATAACCCCTCCAGCTCCAATTTTTTTTTTTTTCCCCTCCCCTCCTGATCCCACCAGAAGCAGATGAGACCTGAATCTCCAATGGCATCGAAGAAATATTAATGAACCACCAAGAAAGGGGGGGGGAGAGGGGGGATAAAAGTCCCCTCCCTCCTACCCACACCCCGCTCTCAGGGGGATTTATCAGCACAGCTGGATTTTCCAAGTACACCCCTAAATCCATGAGTGTCCTTGACAGGTGTGTGGAAGAATTTAATTAAAAAATTGGGGGTTATTAAGCCAAAAGAAAACCTGAGGATGAAGTTCCGCCGCTCCTCCCCGGCTCGGAAGAGCCCAAGGTGCAATAATGTGATAAATATCCCCCCAGAAATAGAGACTTGGCTGCATATTTATTTGGGAGAATAAAAAATAATAATAATTTTTTAAAAAAGCAGGGAGGGAATAACATATTTTTTCATAATTTCAGTCAGAATGTAATGTGTAAATACATTGATTTATGGCTCGAAGTACGACCTATCTACCTCGAATCGCATTTGGTGCCTCTCCTGGGAGAGCAGGGGAATAAGAGGATGGCTAAAAAGGCAGGGAAAGGGTGGAATTATTTGCTTCTTTCTCTTTTTTTGTAATTTCTACATCCTGTGAGGATGCAAAGCACAACATCCAAACGTGCTCGGGGCTTGGGGACTCCAATCAAACACCCCCAGGCATCACAGTCCCCCAGGAGGCAAGAGATTCCTGAAGGCTCAGCCACAAAATAAGCAATAAAGAGAATTAAAATAGTTAAACATTTAAATACCCTTCCATGGCCAACCCATCCTGGGATCCTGGAGTTGTCTGAGACTCCCCAGGCCAAGCTCCCAGCGCTGGCTGGGGCAGAGGTGATGCCTGAGATCCTTTGGGAACAAAGGCAGGGAATAAAAAACTCCATTTTTTTCCCCCCAAAAAAGGCAGCTGGATTTGCGATTCTGACCAATCAAGATGGATTTTCCCAGCCCTGGATTGCAGGTGCCACCCCGGTGGGATCAGAGCTCCTCACCAGCATCAGAAATTCCATCTCTTCCGGCTTCTCCCACCGAGGAACAAACACCCCGAGGCTGATTTTGGGGCTTGACCTGGTCCACGGGGGCAAATCAGGCACCAGGAGGTTCCCGTGTGGGAAACATCGTCCAAGGTGGGTTGGGATTTGAAATACGGGTTTGATGGGGCTTTTCTGGGGAATTTTTATTTTATTTTATTTTTTTAGAGGATCGATCTGGTGCTAAATCTTCAGTTTAATTAATTAAAACCAGCCCCAAAACTGCCGTGCCCCCAGCCCAGCCTTTGATGTGGCAGCTGCTGCATCACTGAATTCTCCTCCACCTGGGCTCGAATTAATGAATCCCAGCCCTCCCAAAAATCTCTCCCCTTCCCAAAATCCCACAGCAGGAACTGCTGGATTTGGGAGGTTTCCTGGCAAAGGGGCTGAGAGGATGCAGCTCCCTCATCTCCATTTATATTTTTGTCCAGTGTTGCTTCCTAGAAATGTGAAAAGGGAAAAAAAAAGAACACCAAAACAAACAAACAAACAAACAAACAAAAAAAGGCAACTCCAGTCGCAGTCATCCCTCCCAGTGAGGTGGGATGAAATGGGAAGCCCCTGGAAAGTCGGGATCGGGGCTCTTTGTGCTGCCTGAGGGAGCTCCAAGCCGGACCCGGGAGAAAGAAAAATCGCATTTAAAAAAAAAAAAAAATAAATAAAAAATAAACGATCCTGCCGCACTTCACTCCCCCCATCAATAACATTTTAATTTCCTGCCCTGCCAAGCCCGGATCCATCGGCAGGAGCAGCCGGGGCCTCATTAACGTCACCCGGCTCTGGGCTGCTCTGCCATAAATCACCTCCCACTCCCTGCTGGCAGCAGAGATGAATTTTGGGGGGGTCCTCCACGGAAAACCGCGCTGAGGATCACCTTTAACACCCCTCTGCCCCTTGGGAAGGTGATGGGGTCCTGACTCCCCTGCCACTGCGTGTGTTAGTCTGACACGGGCTGATTTTGAGGGGGTTCTCGATGGAAATCCGGGCTCAGAATCACTTTTATCGCCTCTCTGCCCACTGGGAAGGTGATGGGGGTCCAGCGTGACTTGTCTTACTGCAAATTTTGGGGCCCAGCTGTATCCTCGTGTCCCATGTCCCTGCTCCCAATCTGCATCCCAACCTGCATCCCCAACCATGATCCAGCTCCAAGGGGATGCTCTGGTCGGGGAAGAGTTGCAGGAACTCCACCAAAACCCCGCTTGAATTTCATTTGGCTGCACAAACCCCCGCGCGGTGCTGCGTGGAGGGAGCGGGAGACGCAACCACACCGCGCTGAGGCGGAAAAAGGTCGAGAAAGGAGAGGGGGATTAAAAAAAAAAGCAATATTGCATTTTTATCACGCGCTCTGCGGGGGAAAAGCACTCAGGGAGGGCTGAGTTGGGGGGGAGGGCGGATTTGCTGCGAGCGCCCTACAAATCAGGGCACGGTGCTGGCGTGAGGGATTGTGCGGAATCCCGGGAGAATCCCGGGAGAATCTCGGGAGAATCCCGGGGGATTCCCGGTGCGGCGCCGCTGTCGCTGAGCGCGGGACGGCTCGTTTTGGGCGCGCGGAGCCGCC